CAGATATCTCAGTTCCTCCTGATTCTTCTTTCATTTTCCCTAACGCTAAGTTTGGTCCTGTCTCAGGGCCTCTGCCTGGAGGCTGCCGTGCCTGGGACTCTCTGCCTTCAGGCCTCCCTTTCCCCCAGTCCATTTCCCGCTTTCCATTCTGGTCTCCTCTCGGGATGCCATCTGAGAGTCTTCCCTGACCACCCAGCACATTCAGTCATTGAACAAATTTACTGAGCACCTACTACGTGCCAGGTATAGTTCTTTTTTCTCCTTCCTTCCTTCCTTCTCTCTCTCTCTTTCTTTTTTTCTTTCTTGATGGAGTCTCGCTCAGTCACCCAGGCTGGAGTGCAGTGGCCCGATCTCAGCTCACTCCAACCTCCGCCTCCTGGGTTCAAGCGATTCTCCTGCCTCAGCGTCCCTAGTAGCTGAGACTACAGGTGCGTGCCACCACACCCGGCTAATTTTTGTATTTTTAGTAGAGACGGGGTTTCACCATGTTGGCCAGGCTGGTCTCGAACTCCTGAGTTCAGGTGATCCACGCTCCTTGGCCTCCCGAAGTGCTGGGATAACAGGCCTGAGCTACTGCGGCCGGCCTGCGCCAGGTACAGTTCTAAAGGCTGTGGAATCATGCACCAGGCCTCCAGTCCTGTTCTATTTTAATCATAGTATTTATCACTCTGAAATTATTTTGTTCATTTTTCTGTTTCCTACTTTATGTTCTGCCTCTCCAACTTTTTTTTTGTTTTTTGAGGTGGAGTTTTGCTCTTGTTGCCCAGGGTGGAGTGCAATGGCTCGGTCTCGGCTCACTGCAACCTCTGCTTCCCGGATTCAAGGGATTCTCCTGCCTCAACCTCCCTAGTAGCAGGGATTACAGGTACCAGCCACCATGCCCAGCTAATTTTTGTATTTTTAGTAGAGATAGGGTTTTACCATGTTGGTCAGGCTGGTCTCGAACTCCTGACCTCAGGTGATCCACCCACTTCAGCCTCCCAAAGTGCTGGGATTACAGGCGTGAGCCACTGTGCACAGCCCCAACTAGACTTTGAAAGCCCTGGAGGTGGGTGGGTTTAGGCTGCCTTGCTCTCCTCTGTGAGCCCAGCTCCAGGGGCTGTGCCTAGCACTTGTAGGTGCTAAAAAGAAGCACTTAATGAATGGATCTCTTTCCCCTAGCAACCCTGTGAAATTTCATCACACCCATTCTAAAGGAGAGGAAACCCAGGCTCAGGTCCAGACAGTGCAGAAGCCACAGCTAATGAGTGCCAGAGCTAGAGCATGAATCATTGCGGCCTCAGAGGCTGTTGCCCTTTCTCCCAGTGAAGACAGTCTAGGGTTATGGGAGGAAAAGGTACTGACGGGAGTCAGAGACCAGCATCACAGCTCAGAGCCTGGGACTCATGTACCTTGTGAAATGTTCCATCCTCCATCTGCTCATCTCCCCACTGGCCAATGAGGACCAAGAAGGGCAACTCTACCCACCCATGAAGTTATTGTGAGGGTCAAATGGGTCAATCATGTGTAGGCTTTAGGGGAATAAGAGGTTATATCTGAGCATGTGAGCTTTGTCAAGATAGAGAATTTCAGCCAGCCCTCCTCTCAATGTCTGGTAGCCCCTTCCAGCCAGATCAGCTTTGTGGGACCATGCATCACTCTACACTCCCCAGCTTAGCCCTGTCTCTAATTTGGTTGGAGACCTTGTGTCGAACACACTTGTCTTTGGATATTGGACCCTGTTCAGGTCCACTGCACACAGGCCCTAATCCCATCATTGAGGCTATGGGTAGGAAAGATGGCGAAAATATGTTTACCCCTTTTGGTGCATGCTTTTGAGATTTTTTTATGTTTGGTATTGGTCATTGAAGAATTTCATCTCCTCTAAGTAACTCTACCCCAAAGGAATGTTTAGGGAGTTGTGGAAGGGGAAGCCT